TCGGGTGGGAGGGAGGGGGCTTATTTATGATTCAGATGATGGTAGATTGATGCCGGAGGGGGAGGGATGCACGAAGGGAATTGTCTAGGAGAGACGTTAATGAGACATCGGACGGAGCAAGTTCATATTGGAATGATGGGATGCCGGGCTTTTGATAGAGGTTTATAATGCGTTTCTGGATGGTTGAAACAGTTGGGGTGGAATTGGGCTCGTTCCAAAAGCGCTTCTAATGTTGTTCGTAATTTATCAAGCAGGATTTTTAATTCGATGCTTTTTTGTAACCTTTCATACTATGAAGTTTCGCGTGAAATTTAAGATTGCTCGAGGGATGAAAGGAAAATTGTTTTTATCAACAGAAAATTAATGAAATTCCTCCTTTCCCATCATCGATTTAATTAAAAAATTCGTTCACCAACTCTGTCCACTGTTAACATACAAAACTCTGAATCAAAAACCGGAAATTTTCATTCATATTCAGAAAAATCCTCCCGTTAAATCGTGGTGAAAAATTCTTCCGCAAATTACACGCGATAAATAATCCCATGCCAACTCTTTACTCCGATTCGAGAAGATTATATCCTGATCGCGGAGAGGGAGAGAGAAGGGGATTAAGGGTCGCGGGTAAAATTCACAGGCGACTCTCTCCGAGCGATCCTCGGGCTTAGGAGGCGCGCGTCTGTCGGCGCGGATGAATTTAATCGTCTGAAACGCGGCGCTGCCCCGGAATCCTCGTTCGTACGTCAGACGGCGGAGGACGTTGAAAACGCGGTCCCCGAAGGTATTACGAGCGGCCGCTCGAGGAGAAGCGGAGCGGAGAGACCGGTCGGTCATACGTCTCGAACGTCCGCCTGCTCCAAACAAACGTCGACGAGCGGCGCGTCGTCAAACGGGACGTGATAAACGCCCGTTGCGCGGCGAATATACGAGATCACCGCAAGTGGGTGGGACACCGGAAGCTGGCCTGATCGCAAAATGGGCCGGGAGAATTTTTATTGTGGGTGTGTGTGCTCGCGTGTGCGGATATATATATATAAATGTTTGTGACCGGGGGAAGAAATTTCTAAGCGTAGGAAGTAATGGGCGGTGGAAAATAAACTCTCCGTTGGTAACTCATGCGGATTTTATATATGTTGAAATTTGTTGGAAAAGATTTCTGTCGTATAACTGTGAGAAAAAGCGAAATAAACATTTTGCGAATCTCTTTGTATTTCTTTTATATTATAAAGGAATTTGTTACTATTTATTGTCTAATTTGTTATTTATGCAAATGTATTTGATTGTTGTTCGTTCATCTCAGAGGATAAGAGGGTATAAAAAAATGTTCAAACTATGAGTTTTGTTTCTTCTTATTTCAAGTTAGCAAGTGCGAAGGAATTTTTAGAATAATGAATAATAAAATATTTGAATATTGCTCGAAGTATATATTGATTAATATTTTCCAACTCCTTTTTCCACGATTTATTATTTACAATTCATATAAACTTTTTCCTTATAAAATTACTGGAAAAGAATGCAGGTTTAAGATATTGTATATAGTTATATTTAAAACATGACTCAAGAAAGAGTGACTCACTGACCTGCTATGCGGAAGTGGCCATTCTGTAACACTTTTAACCCAGACTGGGTCACGATACTGGGCTACCCAGAGGGTGGCGCGTCCACGACAATTCAACGCTCCTTCTTTTCCATCGATGAATCATTCGCCGATCTTTCGTTTAAAATTTCCCGCTCAAATTCAGAATGAATTCAATACGCTGATCTACTCGCGTCTATTATAAAAATTCTCTATATCACATATCTCAAAATACATTTTAATAAATTCTCCAACCGCACCATAATTCCACATTTTCCAAATTCCAACCGCATCACTTGCAAACATCCCTTCTCTCAATTCACCTCCCTCTCTCGATTCCAAACGTCGTTTCGCGCTTAAGTGCGACTCGATCCTCGCGAGATCAACGAGATGGCTCGTGAAAGGATTTCTCCGGATCCCCTGCCATCCCCAACACCGTCTCGAAACTATATACAACCACCCTCGTACGCGCGAGCAGCGACTCGCTCGTAGTTGGATGCACGCGCGGAGGCCGTGGGTGTAGCGGGCTTTATTTGAGGAACGTGCCGCGGGGATGGGCCGAGAAGCTTTTCGGGTAAAAATAGCGGAAATTGCATCTCGACTGGGGTGGTGGATGAAGCCCGGTCGCGGCGTGTACGTGACAGTCGCATCGTGCCACCTCGTGCGCTCCTGACACCTTGTGTCTGTGTATCCGCCGTATATTTGGATGGCGTGTTGACTCTTTACAGCTGTTACCTTTCGTGCGCCCGACTGGCGGATCTCTTTTTTTCTTTTTTTCTTTTTTTTGCCTTTCTGGCACAGGCAGAAGGTGAAACTGGACCGTGGGTGTAGCGGGTTTTTTTTTGTTTTCCGCGTTTCCTTCAAAAATGACACGCGAGGACGACGTCTCTCGTCGCTTGGTTAACGTTGGCTATCGTTTATGGTTTTAAACCATTCACGAGGTGAGAGTTTTTTCCCCTCTCTTTTTCTTCTTTTCGAGAGAAAACTTGGACTCGCGTTGGAGCGAAATTGGTTTAGGGTGTTTGTTAATCGGGGGTTGAATTGTGTATAGTTGTTAGGTCGAGGCTTTGTCGGTTGGGTTCACGTTGTGTTTGCGAAGAGAGAGAAATTAGAGCGGGGAATTGTGTCTTTGAGTGGAACAAACATCTTATTTGCCTTTTATTGGATCTACTAGGAAAAGTTTACAATAGTAAACGATGCTTGATTACGAAATTAAGTTCACATATAAACTTGTTCGATGGAATCGAAACAATTGTTGCGAATTGTTGTAACATTAAAGATACGAATGATCCAATATATCCTCGATTCTCATCGGTTTAATATTAAATATTTTACATGGAAAATTATTAATCGTGTTATCATCGAGTAATTGAATGCAATAAAATTGAACGATACAATATTAATATATTTTAAGAGATCAAACATTACGATTTCTCTGAATCCGTTTAATAGTCTGGCCTATCACATTCCTTAACCACTTACGACTTCGTATCTCATTAAGCAGTCGTTGACTCTTCTAACCTAGAAATAAAACGAAGCAACAATTATGTATGCATCTTTCTTTCCTCAAAAAGTGTATTCATATTCATAAGGTTAATGGCCAGACGTATTGTCTGGCAAAGAATCTTATTTGTTGAAGCTTTAAAAGAAGCTGGTATGAATGATAAAAGTAGTCGTCGACAAGCTGCTTGCTTTTTGCCGTTCCAGTTTTTCCATCGAATAAATTTAACGTTATCATCCCGAAGGAATGCAATCCCTTTGGATTATTCGTTCACGAGAATTCAGATTTCTTAATCCATAATGCATGGAATCGTTTAAGGAGCGTTTTAGTGAACGCTATGTGAGCTAATGTAGAGAAATGCTGACCATTCAATTGGAAGTGTCTTTTTGGCACTGTTCAAGAAGAATTATGAAGAATTCTATTTTCGGATTGGATTGCGAGGAAGAATAAGGTCATTGAAGTGAAACTTTCTATAAAGACGCGTCAGGAACAGGCCCGAGACGGTATTTCTGAATAAAATCAGGCGCAGACGAGCATCGTTACGATGTCGTTACATTGTCGTTACTGGCGATGATGTGCAATTTGGAAACATTATATTATACCTTTATTTTTATATTTCACATTGCACGATAGATATATATTCTTCCTCGTTATTAATCGAAGAAATTTTAATTCAACTTTAAAAAAACAAAACATCATGAATTTTGTCTTGATTGTAATAATATTTAACTCGATTTCTTCTTCTTAATTTTCAAAATTCGAAAAACTGATAATTATAATTTTCTCTAAAAAGAAAAAATTATATTGTAACACAAAATTTCCAATCCCAAACAATCTAATCTATATAATCTAAAAAATTTCTCCTCGATTCAATTTCCATTCCAACTTTGA